GGGATCGCTAGGTCGGTCGGCGCCGGACCGCGAATTTAACCGCCCGTAACTCCCGAACCCCGGGGGCTATCGACGCGGGGGTGGTCTCATTCGAAAGAGGGCCTCTAGACATACTCTCGATTCAGCGTTCGAGAGGGTTCCTCGAGCTGAAGGGATCCCCCGAATTTGTTGCGGATTCGCCACGCGCCGTTACGGAGATATGGCCGTTCAAAGTTTCAATGGTTTTCCATAGACTTAAGCTTTAAAGCGTTTCATCCAGGTCGCCAGTAGCAAACAATGGAGCGCGCTCTGCTGGACAAACTAAGTAATTACACCATTTCAAGCATATTATCTGCGTTACATGTTCTGTAAAAAAAAAGTTCATATTGGCGGCATATTCGCCGATACCGATATATCGGCGACAGGCTCATATCGCCCGATAATATCGGCTAAACTATATATCGGTCGGGCTCTAATTTTAATTAAGTAACGTTATATTTATAATCCACTGCTAATCGACTTAGCCGTTATTCCAGTGTAGAATTTATTTCTGCGTCATTCTGTGATAAGAAGCCACAACAGGTGAAGAGGGAAATTATTTTAAATATTTGTCTGATGTTGTGCAGTAAAAGAATGCTATAATGTTCTTTTTTGTTGCTGGACAACAGGTTTAGTCATTACAAGGGAAGATGCTCGGCGTTTCCGCATCTCAGCGCTCTGATTGGTTAAACTCTTCATCTTTTTCTGTTGCTTGTTTTGAATACTGCACGTGGACAGAGGCGTCACCAGGTTTCTTGCGTAGTTTAGAGTGAAAGATCGTACCAGCGTACTTTGAGGTCAAAATGCGTACAGGTTAGCAGGTCTGCATAAATGTGAGTAAGAATAGAGTGTGTTTGGATGCTGATGTTGAGGATGGATCAGTGATGTTGTACCTGTGTGTGTCCCGCTCCGCTCAGATTCTCCTCCTGGTTCGATGCAGGTTTCTCTCCGCGGCTGACGGTCTTCAGGTACGCCTCGGCTCCGGGGAACCTCTCCTGCTTCTTCCGCAGGCGTCTCTGCAGCTCTTTGTCCAGCAGGTTTCTGACGGTGTCTGTAGAGCGTCTGCAGAGATCCTGGTTCCTCAGGTTCTTCAGCTCGGGGCTCGTGTGCGCTTTAGCGAACCTGCAGGTGACGCCGTACTGACACCAGCCGAAGCTGTTGAACAGGTAGCACTGATCGCTCAGATCCGCCGCTTTAGTGGACATGTACTCGCTCACGTCGTGGAGGAAGCGGCACTTCTCACCGTAGAAGCACTTCGTGTCTCGCTCCTGGAAAACACACGTTTCTGATGAATGCAAGTCAGCATCGAGAGAACTGGGGTCTTATTGCATCTATTTTACTAATGTTTTAACCAACAAACACAATTAAGTGAACAAAGACCAGCACTTTAAACAATAAAAGAAGAAATACACAGAAAAGAAGAATAAGAGAGAAAAAAACACTGCATTAATACATTTGTTACAGTATTTATTCATCTTTTTTAACATTATATATATATATAGTTTGCTCTTTTTTAATTTTTATTATTTAAAAAAATTAATGGTGAAAGTATTTTTACTTTATCAAACAAATATTTAAATAAATCAATAAATAAAAATGTTACTATTTTTAATAATTAAATTAATAAGTCAATAATACATCTAAAAGTACAAAAAGAGCAGAAAAAATTTAAATGTAACTTGATAGAAACTAAATATTTCCCAAATAATATTAAGACATATCTTGTGTGAATAAATTAAATAAGTTAATAAAAAATAGATAATAATAAATAAATGTAACTTAATATAAAACTAAATATTTCCCAAATAATATTAAGACACATACTGTGCAACTAAATGAATAACTAAAAATATTATGAAAGCAAACGAAATACAACAAAACAAATAAATGTAGCTTTTTTCCCAAATATTCAGCCATTTAATGTGCAAATAAAATCAATGTATACACAAAACTTAAACTAAATAAAATTAGATTAAAACAAAAAATATATTAAAATAAATAAAAACATAAACAGTACAGTACTACGAGTAGAAAAATAAAATAATAATATAAATATAACTTGTATTAAATATAACATTTTATTTAGACATACTGTAAGACAAAATATGAATTTATTTATATATGTATATATATACACAGTGGTGTGAAAAAGTGTTGGCCCCCTTGCTGATTTCTTATTTTTTTGCATGTTTGTCACACTTTAATGTTTCAGATCATCCAACACATACTATACCTCAAAGTATATTTTAAAGAAGCAAGAGTATGATCATGCTGTGAGCACCTGAACGATGGAGGGACACAGTCGTCTGTCTTCATAGCTCTGAGGTTTGACGTGAGGTCTGGATTTATTCTGTCCTCTCTTCTTCTTCTTCTTGTCTCCGTCACTGTCCAGTCTGACTCTCTTCTGCTCCGGTTCTCCCGAGGGTTCCTCCGAGTCTCCGTCTGCTTCATCTGTGCTCTGACGCAGCCGGCCCGACGCTAGAAACTCGTGGAACTTCTCTTTAGTGGTGAGGAACCTGGTGAGACGCAGATACACACACATCAGCCACGAGGCTCTGTAAATATGGGATTATCAGGAGTTGATCAGAATACAAACATACTGCTCTTTAATAGCAGCAGCGCCTCTCTGCACCTCCACAAGCGACTCCATCCTCAACACAAACCTGCGGAGAAATAAACACCGATTATGTTCTGTGTGACCGGGTCAAAACATAGAAACACGCTTCTTTACATATTAATAACAAGTCTTCAGTTCAGTGTGATGAAGATGACACAGGGGCTTTCAAACTGGGGAAAGGTTTAGAGAAAAACTAAATTAAAATATTAAATTAAATTAAAATAAATTAATAAAATTAGATTAAAAGTAGCCCCTCTGATTATTCCTTTCATTTCTGCTTTACTAAGTGATATGTTTATATCTATATCGGTTTGTTTTAATGCCTTCTTGGCCATTTGATCAGCTTCCTCATTTCCCTCTATCCCAACATGTGCCGGTACCCATAAAAATGAAATACTTAATCTATATTGGTGAATTTTGAACATGCTTTGTAGGATATCATATAATATGTCTTGTCTAGATGTAGACTTGCCACGTAACTTATTACTTATTAAGACAGAATAAGAGTCTGAGCAAATAACTTCTTAATGGCTGTATTTCCTCGACCCAATTAAGAGCTATCAGTGTTTCTGCTGAATAAACTGATAAATGATTACTTGTCCTTTTTGCAATTTTAATCTTAAAATGAGGAATGCATATAGAAACTGCTGTATTTCCCGAAACAGGATCTTTGGATCCATCTGTAAATATTTTAATTTCCTGACTATAGTTTTGATCCATGTATATTTGTGCAATCTCATTCTTGGAAACATAACCCTTTTTATTATTAATTTCTTCCAAAATCTGAAGGTCTACTATAGGTGTTGGAAATAACCACAGAGGTATTATGGGAATTTCCACTGTAGGACTTACATCTATTCTTCTCAATCCAACATCCTCAGCCTCTTTTTTTACAGTACATCCAAAACATGTATTATTTGAGTTATGTTCCCAACACTCCATCAATATCTTTTTAGCTGGATGGGTTTCAATGTGTCCTTTTAAAGAGGTCCAATATGCCAACGTCAATTTAAGTCTGCGAATTTCCATTGGTGTCTCTGCCATTTCCACCTGAATTGCTGATACTGGAGAGGTCTTAAACGCACCACAACATACTCGCAAGGCTTGTGCTTGAATAATGTATATCTTTTTCAATAACGTTGCTGAAGCAGATCTATACATTATGCACCCATAATCTATTGTTGATCTTATCAATGCACAGTATATACAACTTAATGAATGCCGGCTTGCACCCCATTCTACCCCTGCTAAACATCTCGGTTCAGATATCTGATCATGTTTATCGATCATCACTCACCTGCCAGTGAAGCTTCTGCCCGCACGTGTGACCCGCGGCTGCGCGACGCTCAAATGCGTCCGACCGGAAACACGAGCACAAGCAGAGCAGTTCCGCTTCAACACGACCCGCGGTGAATGACGGAACTGCAGCGCGTGTGCGTGTGTCGAGTCAAAAATGAACTAACTAGAAGTTATCGGAGAAACTAGGCTTTTCGCAAAAGTTTCGAAGCTTCACGAAACAGTAAAGCTCCCATCACTTTCTAAAAGTAGTGTAATCTATTGTCCCGCAATCATTTCGATCAAACAATTAAATATATGTATATATAATAACCACTGCATCTGAAATAGCTCACACCATGAGAAATACACTATGGGATGAAATTAGACTCAATTTTACTAACGAATGCATGCACAATTATCTATGAACTTGATAAATGTTGCAAATGTAGCTTACTATCCGCTACCAAATGTCTGTCAGCGTGTGTCTGCGAAATTATAATTAGCATGAATGTGCAGATACAAATAGAGACATGTTTGTGAATAGTACAGATGATTTCTTTTGCATTGGTGCGTCAGAATTTGCGCGTGCAACAAGGAAGATGTGCATTTATTAACATCTCTTCTGAGTCGATTCTATTTGACTCATTTGGATTTTGAGACTTTCGTCCCGCTCTTTTAGCCTCGCGCGAGAATATCAGCGACCACTAGATGGCGCTAGAGACACGCGCGCAGTCCAGCCTGTGCTTTTATGAATAGTTTGCATCGTTTCTTTCTTTGAGTGTAGAAATATAATAACTCTAGATGTTTTATTGAACTTGTTCTAACTTAACTTGTTTTAAGACAATATATGAAGTTTGATAAACAAGAAATATAATAATAATATAATCTGTAATTCATTATTGCATAAATTACATTTGACTGAAATGCTTGTATTGAAACATTTTGCATTCTTCCTATGATAAAACGGATAAATTGTGTTAACGATAAAGTTATCTCAGTTAAAGACCGTGTTTGCTGTTGTTTTGAAATGTGACCCTGCAGCACAAAAGCAGTCTTAAGTCGCTGGGGTATATTTGTAGCCAACAATACATTGTATGGGTCACAATTATTGATTTTTCTCTTATGCCAAAAATCATTAGGATATTAAGTAAAGATCTGTCACGAATCCGGTCTATGAACTTCCGTTCACTCACAACCAGAGGTCACCCGCTCACTACATGGACTCTCACACTACACAGACTGTTACACTATGCCCTGGACTACATTTCCCATCATCCATTGCACTGATTGCACACAGCTGTAACCAATCACACGCGCACCTGAAAGCCATTACACACACTATATAACACCTACCCAGATCCTGCTCTAGTCGCCGAGTATTGTTCTGCATTTTTCACTCTCCTAGTGTTAGCTGCTTTACCAAGCCATTCCGTGTTAGAGTTTAGTTTAGTCTTGTTCATAGTCTGTTTACCCGTGTTTTGAGCTTAGCCCGTTTTCTCCTCTTGTCTGATCTCTACCTGCCCTGAAGTTTATAGCCTGCCTTGGCTCTCTCTTTCGTCTTGTCGTTTGGACTCTGTTTGCCCCTGCCTGGACTATTACCGTGTACCTGGATTATCTCTCTCTGTCTAGCCCTCTGGATGTCGTTTGCTGATCGGAGACCCTCGTCTGCTCTTGGATTATTCTTGTGTCTTGCCCGTACCATACCAGTTTGCCATTGTTTGACCCTGCCTGTGTTCTGACCGTGTTTATAAATAAAAGCTTGCACATGGATCCTCACGCCTCACGTCTCGTCGGCCTCATTACAATACCACTGTAAGTCACTTTGAGTCAAATGTCACCTCGTATTAGGAAGGCTAATTTTTGATCAGAATTTTTTATTATTGATCAGAAGGTGCTCCTAAATTTTTTAATTTAGGAGGACAAGCGCTCCTAATTACAAGAAGACAAACACTGCTCTTGAACTGGGTGTGTGATGGGTTTGGCTGAGGAAAAATTCAGTCAAAAGATTTTTTTTTGCTTTAACCCCATAATTTTCGCAATATGCGGGGAATTGAAATCGCATTTGAATAAGTGCTGGCTGTTCAATTTCACTTTCGATTTTGCGATATAGCGGCACTCTGTATAAAGGGAGCACATCTTACAGTGTGTGCATAATTATTAGGCACGTTGATATTCTGATCATATTTTTTTCCAAGCA